TCAATCTTTCCCAGCATCAGGGTCTTTTCAAATGAGTCAGCTCTTCGCATCAGGTGGCCAAAGTATTGGAGTTTCAGCTTCAACATCAGTCCTTCCAATGAACACCCAGGACTGATCTCCTTTAGGATGGATTGGTTGGATCTCCTTGCAGTCCAAGGGACTCTCAAGTGTCTTCTCCAACACCACAGTTCAAAAGCATCAATTCTTCTGCACTCAGTTTTCTTTATAGTCCAACTCTCATATCCATACATGACTACTGGAAAAACAATAGCCTTGACTAGACAGACCTCTGTTGACAAAGTTATGTCTCTGCTTTTTAATATGCTGTCTAGGTTGGTCATAACTTTCCTTCCAAGGAGTAAGTGTCTTAATTTCATGGCTGCAGTCACCATCTGCAGTGATTTTGGAGCCCCCTAAAATAAAGTCAGCTACTGTTTGCACTGTTTTGCCATCTGTGTGCCATGAAGTGACGGGACCGGATGCCATGATCTTAGTTTTCTGAATGTTAAGCTTTAAGCCAACTTTTTCACTCTCCTCTTTCACTTTCATCAAGAGACTCTTTAGTTCTTCTTCACTTTCTGCCAAGTGTATTAGGATAGTATTACCTGTCTTGCTGTCTTTATTGAGGATAGTACTCGTCTTGGAGGTTTTTGAGTGATGTGTGTCAGGTTACAGAGTGAGTTGAGGGCAGAGATAGAACCACAATCCTTGTCTACTGAGTTTTTGGTTAAGTACTTTTAGTGAAAGTACCTTTTTTCTAACTGCAAAATGATTCTTCTTGGATCTATTCTCTAGGCCTAGGCAACAATGTCTTCTGTTGGTAAGGAGGGGGAGAGGGATTAGAAGGCAGTTTGGTGGTGCCTGCATATTTACCATAGTTATCTTATCTTTGGAGAAGAGAATGGCAACTCACTCCAGGATTCCTGCATGGGAAATCCCATGGACAGAGGAGCTTGGTGGGCTACAGTCCGTGGGGGTCCCAAGAGTCGGACAGGCTGGAGCGACTATCACTATCTTATTTAAGATTTCATTCAGAGCTTATCTGCTGCTGATGCCCTCATCTGCCTGAGTCTCCTGAACAGATCAGCCCAGAATTACCCTTGGATGCATACTGGGGCCAACCTTGTTTGTTTTCTGCCATACGTTTCCTGTATCTAGTTTGTCTGAGATGGATTTTTTTCTTACTACCTGAATGACCTTGTTTGTTCCCGATTGTCTGACTCTGCTGTGATTCCTCCTTTTTTCTGTTTTCTCATTAGCCCCTTTTCATAGTGAGCTATCCAATTTTATTTTTCTTTAAATGTTTAACATTTTATTTTTAATACTAGGCTGTGAATTGGGTTTTTTTTTCTCTTGATATACAGTTCTGTGGTTTTCAACACATGTTCACATTTGTGTAAGCACAGAAATTAGGGTATGTAACAGTGCTACAATCCAGAAAAACTGTCCTGTAGTATTCCTTTATAGTTAACCTCTCCCCTTTCCATAACTCCTGTCATCCATATATATATAAATGTATATATTCATTATTCCTCTTTTTTGTCTTTTTGAGAATGTCATGTAAAATAAATCATTTAGACTAACTTTTGATACTAGCTTCTTTCACTCACATACTACCTTTGAAATTCATTCAAATTGTATGTTTGAATAATTTATTTCTTTTTATTGCTGAGTAGTGTTCCCATAGTGTGACTGTACCACAGTATAAACAGTAGTTTGTTTAACCATTTACTTTTTGAAATACATGAGGGTTATTTCCAGTTTTTGCCTGTTACAAATAAAGCTACTATAAACATTTGTGTATAGGATTCCACCCTCCCCCCAATTTTTGAAATTGTGGTAAAATATACATAACATAGGGGCTTCACAGGTGGCATTAGTGGTAAAGAACCCCCTTGCCAATGAAGGAGACTTAAGAGATGCAGGTTCAATCCTGGGTTGGGAAGATCCCCCGGAGGACAGCATGGCAACCCAGTCCAGTACTCTCATCTGGAGAATCTCATGGACAGAGGAACCTGATGGGCTACAGTTCATAGGGTTGCAAAGAATCAGACACAACTGAAGTGACTTGGCGCACACACACATATGCATAACGTAAAATTTACCATCTCAACTATTTTCACATGTACGGTGCAGTGGTATTAAATACATTCATATTACTGTGCAACCATCACCACCATCCATCTCCAGAACTCTTTTCATCTTGCAGAACTGAAACTGCTTATCAGTTAAACAATAACTTCCCAGTTTTTCTTTTCCTCAAGCCTCTATTAACCATCATTCTGCTGTTTTTCTGATTTTAACCTACCCTAAGACTCTCACATAAGTGGAATTAAGCAATATTTCCTTTTTGTGACTGGCTTGTGTATAGGTTTTTAAATGAACATAAGCCTTAATTTCTATAGGTTAAATGTCCAAGAAATTGCAGGAGTCTATGATAGTTACATGTTTAGTTTTTAAAGAAACTGCTAAAGCTTTCCAAAGTGGCTGTACCATTCGTTTTACTTTCTCACCAGAAATGTAAGTCTAGGGTTTGAATTAAATTTCTAGAGGTAACTCTGGTGACCCCTTAGAGTAGTCATCATTGGATGATTTGAAAAATAGTAATTAACACTCATATATTCATTCATGTGGATTGTGGTGGAGGTGGAGAAAAGATTCAGGACTGGGTAGAAACCTGGTAGGTATCTACTGCAGTAGTGGTTTCTAAACTTGTATGCATACCAGAATCATCAGGGGAACTCTATAATTCAAATTCATGGATCTCATACAGACATGCTAAATTAGAATCTGTATTTTTAACAAGGGCTAAAGCAAATTTTGAGTGGTCATGCCCACATTAGTTGGACCATTGTGTTATAAGGTCTATGGAATTTCCAAAATATAAAAATTCAGAAGCATATGGGGCTTCCCTGGTGGCTCAGTGGTGAAAAACCCACCTGCCAGTTCAGGAGATGTGTTTTTGATCCCTGGGTTGGGAAGATCACCTGGAGGAGGAAATGGCAGCCCAGTCCAGTATTCTTGCCTGGAAAATTCCATGGACAAAGGAGCCTAGTGGACTGCAGTAGTCCATGGGGTCACAAAGAGTTGAACATGACTTAGTGACTAAACAACAACATAATGTATATGTAACAAATAAAAAATTTCCAACCCTCTTATTATCTTTTTTCCTTATCTCTCTTCGACCCTATGTTTATATCTCCTTGTCTCTTTTTCACATCAGTTTATGAAGTGATCTTATGTATTTAAAATTTTTTTAAACTTGAAGTAACATTGATTTACAGTGTTCTGTTAATTTCTAGTGTACAGCAAAGTGGTTCAGTTATACACACATGTATTTTTTCATATTCTTTTCCACTATGGTTTATTATAGTGTTTGAATATTGGGAGGCCTGGTGTGCTGCAGTCCATTGGGTTGCGAAGAGTCAGATACCACCTGGTGACTGAACAGCAGCAACAATTGAATATAATTCCCTGTACTATACAATAGGACCTTGTTGTTTATCATACGGTCCCCTCTAATACTTAATTCTACTTTTTCAGTTACAAATAATCTTGCCTTGGATAAACCTAATTGGCTGTGATACTACCACTGTGCAAAGCTTAATTCTATATTTCATTTTCTCTTCCCCCATCTAGTTTTTCACTGGTCTTTCTTTTTTTTTTCTCCAATGTGTCTAATAGGTTATTGATCGCTACTTTCTCTGTTTTCACTTGGCCCTTAAATTGTAACTTACCAGGTTCCCTCTTCCTACTGTGGAAAGTGTTTGCTGCTCAGCATCTGGGGCTTATTTTCTTTCTCATACTAAGATATATTTATCCTACTCTTGGGGCTTCCCTCATAGCTCAGTTGGTAAAGAATCCACCTGCAATGCACGAGACCCCTGTTTGATTCCTGGGTCAGGAAGATTCGCTGGAGAAAGGATAGGCTACCCTCTCTAGTATTCTTGGGCTTCCCTTGTGGCTCAGCTGATAAAGAATCTGCCTGCAATGCAGGAGACGTGGGTTCGATCCCTGAGTTGGGAAGATCCCCTGAAGAAGGGAAAGGCTACCCACTCCAGTATTCTGGCCTGGAGAATTCCATGGACTATATAGTTCTGCTGCTGCTGCTAAGTCACTTCAGCCTTGTCTGACTGTGTGACCCCTTAGATGGCAGCCCACCAGGCTCCTCTGTCCCTGGGATTCTCCAGGCAAGAATACTGGAGTGGGTTGCCATTTCCTTCTCCAGCTGTATAGTTCATGGGGTCTCAAAGAGTCAGACACGACTGAGCGACTTTCACTTTGACTTGTGTAGGTAGATCCAGGTCTCTCTCATGGGTTCTTTCTTTTCAATGGCAGGAGTAGAAAACAACTATCAAGGTTTGGTGAAGGAAGCTTTAAGTTTTATATTTATTTTTCTCCTCTTCTTACAGGGAAGAAGAAGAACGTTTGAGAAATAAAATTCGAGCTGATCATGAGAAGGCACTAGAAGAAGCAAAAGAAAAATTAAAAAAGTCAAGAGAGGAAATCCGAGCAGAAATACAGACAGAGAAAAATAAGGTAGTCCAAGAAATGAAGATAAGAGAGAAAAAGCCACTGCCAGCAGTTCCTATACCAAACCTTATAGGAACACATGGTGGAGACCCAGAAGATAATGACCTAAGAGAGAAAAGGGACAAAATTAAAGAGGTAATAAGCTGAGATTTGTGATATGGGGTGGTTAGGGATATGGATATGCATTTGACTGGGTGTAAATTTATCTATCTGTATTTATGCCATCTGTGGTACAAACTTTGTTGTACTTTGATCAAATAGTTTGTTTTGAGGTCAGAATTGTTCATTTTGCAAGATGGCAGCAAGTGCTAAAACTCTCTCTTAGTATCAATCATAACAATTATAGGGTACCTACAATTTTTGATAAAATATTGTTTGGATAGTTACGCTCCTTATCTTGTGTTCAGAGAACTTTTGATACTCAATATTTTGTAAATAATGTAGAATAGACCCATAAACAATTTATCATTTAATAAGAAATTTCATAAGTATCTGTTTCCACAGACCTCTGCTAGTTACTAGTTTCTGAAAAGTTAGCGAGTTTCTGAAGAGCTAGCTTTATATGTACCATCTTTCAAGGAACCTGTCAATACCACTTAACCATACTACAGATTAAGAACATATCTTTCCAAAGAGTCTCAATGGATTGAATAGGGAAGGATTGAATTCAGCATTCTTGAAATTTGTTTGGTCTCAGGAGTCTTTCAGTTTTGTTATTTTAGGGGTTCTTTGGAGATAGAATACCAGAATGAGAAGAAATCTAGTGAATGTTTTAGTAGAACTTTGTTAATTAGAAATCCTGCTAATGCGGGGTAGAGTTTTAGTTTTACTGTTATGAAGAAACAGATTTTGTAATAGCATAAACAGTATTTCAAATTGATTGTTTATCATAACATAAGACAATAAGTTTAGTTCAAATAGATATCTATTAAGATATATTCTAGTAGTGAATATGGAAGATTTGCAGGTATTTTAAGCATCCTTTATGAATTAGTATAAGATATGTACTCTGATTTTGCCTTACTCTGGAGTCTATGTTTTGTGCTCAGGCTGCTTGAGGCACTTTCTTTGGGCAGTGTTGAGGAGACTTTGATAAATTTTTTTTTCATGTCATTAGAATCTATTGAAATACTTTCTGATTTACATAATATTCCATATAGATAACATTGTGTGTTTCAGTTCAGTTTAGTCGCTCATCATGTCCGACTCTTTGCGACCCCATGGACTGCAGCATGTCAGGCTTCCCTGGGGACCCAGTACCCCCCACAGGCTCAGTGATTCACTGGGAGTACTCACAGAACTTAGGAAACTGTTACATTCATGGTTTATTCATCGAACGCATACAGATTAAAATCAATAGAAAAGGCATATAGGACAAAGTCCAGTAGAGCCCAGGCAAAAGCTTCTCATTGTCCTCTCATAGTGGAGTGATATGGACAGTGCTTAATTCTCCCAGAAATGATGTGTTGGCAGTGTGTGTGATGTATTACCAACCAGAGAAGTAAACCCGAGCCTTGGTGTCCAGGTTTTGGGGGTTTTTTATAATTATTTTTTATTCAGTTCAGTCGCTTAGTTGTGTCTGACTCTTTGACCCCATGGATTGCAGCATAGCAGGCTTTCCTGTCCATCACCAACTCGTGAAGCTTGCCTCAAGCTTATGTCCATCCAGTCAGTGATGCCATCCAGCCATCTCATCCTCTGTCATCCCATTCTGTTTCTGCCTTCAATCTTTCCCAGCATCAGGGTCTTTTCCAGTGAGTCAGTTCTTCGCATCAGGTGGCCAAAGTATTGGAGTTTCAGCTGTTGTATCAGTCCCTCAAATAAATACTCAGGACTGATTTCCTTGAGGACTAATTATTTGATATTTTCCTATTTGGAACCAGTCTGTTGGTCCATGCCCAGTTCTAACTGTTGCTTCCTGACCTGCATACAGGTTTCTCAAGAGGCAGGTCAGGTGGTCTAGTATTCTCATCTCCTTCAGAATTTTCCACAGTTTATTGTGATCCACACAGTTGAAGGCTTTGGCATAGTCAGTAAAGCAGAAATAGATGTTTTTCTGGAACTCTCTTGCTTTTTTGATGATCCAGCGGATATTGGCAATTTGATCTCTGGTTCCTCTGCCTTTTCTAAAACCAGCTTGAACATCTGGAAGTTCTTTGTTCACATGTTGCTGAAGCCTGAGTTGGAGGATTTTGAGCATTACTTTACTAGCGTGTGAGATGAGTGCAATTGTGTGGTAGTTTGAGCATTCTTTGGGGTTGCCTTCCTTAGGGATTGGAATGAAAACCTTTTTGCATTTCTTTTTCTTGGTGATGGTCTTTTTTTTTTTACTTTAATATTCAAACAATAACTACCTTGTATCTCTTCTACTAAAGCTTTTTATTTCTCAATAAGACTTCTGACAACGTTAATGCATCATAAGTAAATACATAGGGCTGTATTTTATCTCTGTGATCTTTGGCACATGTGTCAAGTTGGAGAATCACAAAAGGCAATAAAAATTTCTAATTACTGCTTTGCACATTCTTTTAATCATCTTTACATAAATATATAAGGCTGCAAAAAAAATATATATAAGGCCGCAAAAAGGCAAGCTGAAATTTTATGATATGTGAAATTGTTTTAATAAAGAGTTTTACATACAGTACCTTACATATAGAACAGTGTGTTTGCAGTTTTAAATAATATCTGAATGTACAGTGGCATGTATTCTTATCAAAGATAAATTCAAGTTGACTGTCTTATCAGCTCACTGCTTCCTGTACAAGATCATGGACCTCTGTCCATAGTTCTTCAGGCACTCTATCAGTTCTAATCCCTTGAATCTATTTGTTACTTCTACTTTATAATCATAAGGGATTTTGTTTAGGTCATACCTGAATGATCTAGTGGTTTTCCTACTTTTTTCAATTTAAGTCTGAATTTTACAGTAAGGAGATCATGATCTGAGCCACAGTCACCTCCGGCCTTGTTTTTGCTGATTGTATGGAGCTTCTCCATCTTCAGCTGCAAAGAATATAATTAATCTGACTTTTGGTATTGGCCGTCTGGTGACGTCCATGTGTAGAGTAGTCTCTGATGTTGTTGGAGAAGGATGTTTGCTGTGATCAGTGCATCCTTTTGGCAAAACTTTGTTTGCTTTTGCCCTGCTTTATCTTGTACTCCAAGGCCAAATTTTCCTGTTACTCCAGGTATCTCTTGACTTCCTACTTTTGCATTCCAGTCCCCTATGATAAAATGGACATCTTTTTTGGGTGTTAGTTCTAAAAGGTCTTGTAGGTCATCATAGAATTGTTCTGCTTTTGCTTGTTTGGCGTTAGTGGTTGGGTCATAGGCTTGGATTACTGTGATATTGTATGGTTTGCCTTGGAAACAAACAGAGGTCATTCTATCATTTTAAGATTGTACGCAGTACTGCATTTCAGACTTGACTATGAGGGCTACTGCATTGCTTTTAAGGAATTCTTGCCCACAGTAGTAGATATAATGGTCATCTGAATTAAATTTGCCCACTCCAGTCCATTTTAGTTCACTGATTCCTAAAATGTTGATGCTTGCTCTTGCCATCTCCTGTTTGACCACTTCCAATTTACCTTGATTCATGGACCTACATTCCAGGTTTCCATGGAATATTGTTCTTTACAGCATCAGACTTTACTTCGATCACCAGTCGCATCCACTACGGTGGGTTGTTTTTGCTTTTACTCTGTCTCTTCATTCTTTCTGGAGTTATTTCTCTTCCAGTTGCATATTGAGCACCTATCAGCCTGGGGAGTTCATCTTTCAGCATCGTTTCTTTTTTTTTTTTTAAGCATCGTTTCTTTTTGCCTTTTCATACTGTTCATGGGGTTCTCAAGGCAAGAATACTGAAGTGGTTTTCCATTCCCTTCTCCAGTAGACCATGTTTTGTCAGAACTCTTCACCATGACTTGTCCATGTTGGGTGGCCCTACATGGCATGGCTTATAGGTTCATTGAGTTAGACAAGGCTGTGATCCATGTGATCAGTTCGGTTAGTTTTCTGTGATTGTGGTTTTCATCCTCTCTGTCCTCTGACGAATAAGGACAAGAGACTTATGGAAGCTTCTTGATGGGAGAGACTGACTAGGGGGGAAACTGCGTCTGATCGGCGGGGCCTTGCTCAGTAAATGTTTAATCCAATTTCCTGTTGATGGCTGGGGCTCTGTTCCCTCCCTATTTTTTGGCCTGAGACGAAACTGTGTTAGAGGTAATGATGGTAATGTGGCCTCCTTCAAAAGGACTTGTGCACACATTGTTGTATTCAGTGTCTCTGACCCCACAGCAGGCCACTGTTGATCCACACCTCTGCTGGAGATTGCTGGACACTCACAGGCAAGTTTGCTCCTTGTGGAGACCCTGTTCCTTTCTTCTGGCTCCTCGTCCACTAAAGGTTTTATCTGTACCCTTCAGGAGTCTTGTTTCCCCAGTCCCGTGGAAGTTCTGCAGTCAAATCCCACTGAATTCCCTGGGGATTCTCAGTCCCTTTGCCAGATCCCCAGGTTGGGAAATCTGTTGCTTGTTCTGTGCTCAGCCGCTCAGTTGTGTCCAACTCTTTGTGACCCCATGGACTGTAACCTGCCAGGCTCCTTTGTGAGGATTCCCTCGGTGAGAATCCTGGAGTGGGTTGTCATGCCCTCCTCCAGGGGATCTTCCCAACCCAGGTCTCCCTCATTGCAGGCAGATTCTTTACCATCTGAGCCACCAGGGAGGCCCATGTAGGCTTGGTTGGTCTTAATTCTCCAGTCCCTCCAGAGACCAGGCTGATTCCATGCGGTTCAAGGTCCCCACCATAGGTCACGTTATTAGCATAAACTGTCTGACATGACTCAGGCTCTAGGTAAACAAAAATGCTCTTAACAGGCAGAATAATAAAGGTTTAGAGGTTATTTTCCAGGAGCCTGGTTTAGGCCAAATCTTCTCTGAGGATGTGCAGGGTTTGGACAACCCAGACTTGCTGAGTGAATCCTTTAGATAACATCGCATTATCTAGTATTCTTATAGATTAACATAAAACTTGTTAAGAATCCCTGTGTGGGGTCTTGTTAAAGATTATGGTTGATGTCTTAGCAAGGAGAGAAAGTTGAGACCTAACCTGCAGGGGAAGATGCTAGTAAG